AAAATAAACGAACAGCTACACACTTATAGTAGAACTCAGCTTACTATCAAGCTAAATAAGGCTATTTAAAGAAAAAGCTCTCCCAATTGATAGTAACATTATGAAAATTTTTTGTTATATTTTTCTATATTGTATTTGTTATGAAATGGACAGATCTAGGTTTGAAACCAAGATTTGAGTTCAAACCACAGCGGATTAGAATGTATATATGATATTTAGAGAAGAGAGTTTTGCATGTTGCATATTAAATGAAGTAATACCGTATTTTAACCTTATCTACCAACCAAAATACATTCTTTAATAACCAACTATCATTAATCCCGAATCCTTAATAAACACTCATTCCACGTAATCTATGTTTTTGACCCGTGTAAATCACGTTAGCCAAGTTTCTCACATGGTTGCAACACCGCTATGGAATAGGTTATACCTCGGAGTTACTCCGGAGTATCTTACTCATTTAACATCCCTATGATACTTAACAATAATATGATCAGCAAAATCAGTCAATCACAATAAAGTTCGCTATGCTGCATGTTGTACAGTGTGATACATATCTCTATAAATTTGATACTTCCATATATAACATTTACGCCAAAATGTTAATCTACTTAAAAGTCAGCCAGAAAACATCGTCGTTCATCAGATATTGTTCAAATAGCTAACAATACTACTCAATTATATTTAAAAGATAACATGTCGCAAGAATTTTCCCAGGAGTTTCTTAACGAAATTGTTAAAGAAATATGTAATCTATATAATGAAGAAAGATTGAAAGGCATAGATCCCCATTTAGCTCTTGATACATTAGAACAGTTTTTAATAAAGAAGAAACAAAATCCAGTTAATATCATCAATTATTGCTTATATGATCAAATCAATCCTACAGTTCAAATTATACTTGCAAGTTGTTATCGTTATGGTAAATGGATTGAAAAAGACACTCATAAAGCATTTATTAATTACCAAAAACTTGCAGAAATGGGTGACGCTATTGAAACAAATAATATTGGATATTGTTATCATTATGGAATTGGAGTTGAAAAGGATGAACATAAGGCATTTATTAATTATCAAAAGTCTGCAGAGATGGGATGCTCTGGAGGAACAAATAATGTTGGATATTGTTATCATCATGGAATTGGAGTTGAAAAAGATGAATATAAGGCTTCCATCTATTATCAAAAATCTGCTGATATGGGGCACGCTGCTGGAACATATAACGTTGGATATTGTTGTGAAAATGGTATTGGAGTTAAAAAGGATGAACATAAGGCTTTCATTTATTATAAAAGATCTGTCGAAATGGGATACGCTGGAGGGATCTATGATGTTGGATATTGTTATCGAAATGGAATTGGAACTGAAAAAGATGAATATAAGGCATTCACCTATTATCAAAAATCTGCTGATATGGGGCACGTTGCTGGAACATATAATGTTGGATACTGTTGTGAAAATGGTATTGGAGTTAAAAAAGATGAACATAAGGCTTTCATTTATTATCAAAAATCTGCAGAGATGGGACACGCTGAGGGAACGTATAAAATTGGTTGTTGTTACACGCATGGAATTGAAGTTGAAAAGGATGATCAAAAGGCCTTCATTTATTACCAAAAATCTGCAGAGATGGGACACGTTGAGGGAACATATAAAATTGGTTGCTGTTACACACATGGAATTGGTGTTGAAAAAGATGAGCAAAAGGCTTTCATTTGTTATCAAAAATCTGCAGAGATGGGGCACGCCGTTGGAGCATATAATGTTGGACATTGTTACCAAAATGGAATTGGAATTGGAAAAGATGAATATAAGGCATTCATTTATTATAAAAAATCCGCAGAAATGGAAAATGTTAATGGAATAACTGATGTCGGATATTGTTATCAAAATGGAATTGGAATTGAAAAAGATGAACATAAGGCATTCATTCATTATCAAAAATCTACAAAGATGGGGCACGCTGCTGGAACATATAACGTTGGTTATTGTTATGAATATGGAATTGGAGTTGAAAAAGATAAACATAAAGCATTCATTTATTATAAAAAATCAGCAGAAATGGGATACACTAGAGGAACGTATAATGTTGGATATTGTTATCAAAATGGAATTGGAATTGAAAAAGATGAAAATAAAGCATTCATTTATTATCAAAAATCTGCAGATATGGAAAATGCTAATGGATTAAATGAAATTGGATATTGTTATCAAAATGGAATTGGAACTGAAAAAAATGAGCATAAGGCATTCATTTTTTATCAAAAATCTGCAGATATGGAGCACGTTGGTGGAACATATAACGCTGGCTGTTGTTATGAAAAAGGTATTGGAGTTGTAAAAAATGAACATAAGGCATTCATTTATTATCAAAAATCTTCAGAGATGGGACACGCTGCTGGAACATATAACGTTGGTTTGTGTTATGCAAATGGAAATGGAGTTAACAAAGATAACCATAAGGCTTTCAATTATTATCAAAAATCTGCAGAGATGGGGCACGCCAGTGGTGCATTTAGTGTTGGAAATTGTTATGATAAAGGAATTGGAGTTGAAAAGGACGAAAATAAAGCATTCATTTATTATCAAAAATCTGCAGAGATGGATGACGCTATGGGATCATATATGGTTGGATATTGTTATCGATATGGAATTGGAGTTGAAAAGGATAAATTTAAGGCATTTATTTATTATAAAAAATCTGCAAGAATGGGATACGCTAGAGGCACATATAAGGTCGGATATTGTTATCGAAATGGCGTTGGAGTTGGAAGAGATATATATATGGCGTTCTTTTATTATCATAAATCTGCAGAAATAGGATACGATAGAGGAACATATAAGGTTGCATATTGTTATCGATTTGGAATTGGAGTTGAAGAAGATAATTATAAGGCATTCATTTATTATCAAAAATCTGCAGAAATGGGATACGCTAGAGGAGTATATAGGGTTGGATATTGTTATCGAAATGGAATTGGGGTTGAAAAAGATGAACATAAGGCTTTCATTTATTATCAAAAATCTGCATATATGGGAAATGTTAAAGGACTAAAAGAAGTTGGAAATTGTTATCTTTATGGAATTGGTGTTGAAAAGGATGAATATAAAGCATACATTTCTTATAAAAAATCTGTAGAGATTGATAATGTTAGTAGAATTTGAAATGCTGCATAATGTTATCGAAAACCAAATACTGGTATCAAAAGCAAATTTATTCAAGCTTAAATTTGTGTGGTGCATTGTGATATACGTACTCAATAAATTGATAAGTCAAGCATAATCAAAATCAAAAATTTACACTTTGCTCAGTTAAGATTAATGCTATAATAGGGTTAGGTTAGAGAGGTAATCTAAAATTCTAAAAGGCGATTTTATAAACAATATTGCAAGTTATAGATTTAAGTTTACACTTAGAGATGGAAAAATATACATGATACGTGTAATAAAATTTTTTTAAACCTTATATTTTTATTATATTTAAATGAAGATACTACATGTTAATTCGTATACAGTCGTCCTTCTCTATAATCACACCGTTTGTTTTACATAAAAAAGATGTGATTATAAAATTTTAATAGTAATGTGATTATATAGCGTTTTTTTAATAAATATATTGCCAATAATTTTTCAAAAAATAGTGCTTATAAAGAGGGTGTGATTATATAGGAGGTGACTGTAGAGGAGGACGACTGTATAAATTTTTACCAATTTGCCGATTGCAAATTTCATTGTTGCTAATTATATTGTAATACTTCTTAGAACGTACGCCTTAAAATCCCTACTCTGTAGGGTAGACCGGGATAGGGTTTGCATAATGTTCAACGATAATACTATAATGTCTCGAAAGAGGACGGTTGATTTGGCAGAGCCGATATACATTTAAAGTATATGCTTTATTAAAATTATAAGATATGCGAGATGCCTTTACAAATGCTAAATGTGTTATGCTTTTATACTATTTTTGAATCTGCTAATTCTATTGAATATGCTAAATCTTCTATGTCTACTATATCTACTACTTCTACTTCGTCTACTATATCTAATGTACCTTTCCGATCTACTAAATCTGCTAATATTACCCAATTTGGACATATGCATTCCCAAACAAATATGTACCCGATCTGTCCAAATGCAGTTATAATCATTGATCCTTTTTGCAGTCATTAAATTTTCCTCTACTTATCTTGTTCATTCCATGAACAACCTTAACCCTCCGGGATCAAATAGGATATTTTTATCATCATACGTTTTATTGGGATTATCATCAGATATTTGATAATTACTAAATGCCTTCTGTTCGTTCACTCCCAATTTCATCCTGTTTTGACAACAGGGCCCAAGCTTATATGTTCCTGTTTTATATTTGCTCTTTTTATATTTGCTTACATATTCATAACAACATCTAAGGTTATGTCATCCATCCAGATTGCTACCTTCAGTAGAGCTTAAATGTCTTTCATATGTTTTTTTTTTCTGTCTTTAACAGTTATTTCATTTCTGATTTCATTTTCTAGCATAACAATTTTCCTCTTCTTGATAATTCATTTCACAAATTTAGATAAGTTTTCAGATTTTATTTTCACCATCGTGGTCACCACTGTGTCAGTCAATTTTTGCTAATTACTGAATTTATTTGATTTTTCTCCAGGATTGAACGTTTCATCAGAGCACGCCAGTTTATCATAATCTGCAACTTGTCACTTTGATAATAAATTAATGCTATATGCTCATCTTTTTCGAGTCCAATGTTATGTTGATAACAGTTATATAATTCGTTAGTATTATCTGAATAAGCAGTTTTTTGATGATAGGTAAATATCTTTTGTTTATCGTCTTCAATTCCGATTTCATTCTGGTAACAGTTTCTAGAAATAACATCCACCTCAGCAGGTGATCGAAGTTTTCTGTAATCGTTTAGGTATGTGCCCTTTTTTTTCATTTTGCTTTTGTCATTCTTGATCATCTTTTTAAATTCATCTACTTTTTTCATCCGAATATTACAAGCATGATTCAAGTCGACAGAGTCTTGGTAATAACTGATGCCCCTCTTTCGTCTGTTTCAAATCTATTTGACTTACTACCGTGTTCCTCAATTTGTCTACCTTTTTTATCCAGATTTCACATTCATTTTTAAGCTTTCTATCGATAGATATCTCGTTTGTGTTGTCAATTCTAGTTGGTACTTCATCATCACTAATACATTTTTCTACTTTATTCATTTTTCCATTTTTTTCAATATTCATCTTATCATTATTCTCAGCTTTGCTAGCATTTAGTTCAACGCTATTATCCGTATCGTTTTCATCAGCCTTGTTGTTGCTAGTGTCTTTATTAGCATCATCATCATATTCAAAATTTCCAACATTATCTGGGTAGGTTCTATATTCAGCCTTTTCTACTTTATTCTTGCTTCTGTGATAACTGGTGTGAAATATTTTCTCGGAATCATTCATCTCGGCAATTTTTTTATAATAATTGAGTTCTTGATATTCATCCTTTTCAGCTCTGACTTCACGTTGATGACCATATCCAAGGTTGTTTGGCACATCAACTTGTTTTATATATTCTGATTTTTGATAATTAATGAACACTTTATATTCATCTATTTCAATTCTAACGCCTTTTTCATTGCAGAATCTATGAATATTTGTTTCATTACCGTATTTCATTTCATCAAACTCTTGGTAAGTAATGGGCTTCTGATGATTATACTTTTCAATATCTTCATCATTGTAATCATCATCCCTCTTTTTATGAGCGGTCTTCCTATTGTCAGTTTTCTCATTATTTTTATTATTTGTTTTAGCATTTCTTTTATTATCAATTTTGAAATCTTTTAACCAATCAAGGTAAACTTTATATTCGTCATCCATTTCAATTCTATTTCCATATTTGTAGCAATGTCTAATGCTGTGTGTTATGTCAGAATCATTCATATCAATGGATTTTTGATAATAAGTAAATGCTTTATATTTAACATTTTCGATTCTGATTCCGTTTTGATGTAAGTAAATAATCGGCTTTGCTACTTCTATTTTTTCTTTGTTGCTTGTAAAATCTTCTAAAATTTCCAATGTTAATTCCAGGGCTTGTAGAAGTTGTGTATCATCAATCAGCTGTCTTTCAAGGACTTGATCAACTATATCCTAAACTTCATCAAATTCATCTGGAGTAAGTTTTTCTAAGAGCTTGTATATTTGAGTTCCAATTGTTTTATGTATTCATTTGCTTTATTAATTCGAGTCTTGTCTCTCTTTTTTGACTTCTGTATGAGTTTTTATATACGACGTTGATTTCCTTCTGATGGTTCTTCTTACTTAATTCAGGGCTTCAGATTCTTCTTTCTGCATTCCAACTTTTTCTTGTTTGAGCTTCGATATGTCTTGATTTTCATATAGGTGTTTATTGGTAAATTTTATACAATTTTTTTTTATTTTTTTTATTTTTTTTTTATAATAATAATTGTGTAAAAAAAATTAGAAAAGTTCTTTATATCAAAAAATTTTTTTATTTTTTTTTTTGTTAGATCTGATGATTCTTCAGGCGATTATTAATTCAAAAGTTTATGCATTGATCCTTACGCATAAGTTAGTCACTTAGAAAAATTTTCTGACTTATAACATATGTGTTCGATCTCTTTATTGTTTAAATGTTGCTTCTTAATCACTATGACTATATATTTTTGCGCTTGTTTGTAAATTTCTGTAACTTATACTTCATTACCTTTAGTTTTTACTATAGTTTATTTATTGATCCTTTTGGTTATGTTCTTCTAAGCTTTTGTATTATGCTTGAGTTATGTAATTGCTAGTTTGTCTACTTAAGCACTTTGTTGCTTAAAAAAAATATTGCTGACCCAGGTTTTTGATACGTCGGTTTCCAAAAAAATTCTACTAATCATCTTAAAAAAAAAATTTTGAAGTTCTGTCTCTAAAAAAAAATTCTGTAAAGCGAATTGTTTCAATTTTTTTCACTTATACTTCACCTTTGTCTTTTTTTTTGCCTCGTACTGCAGCCATGCTGTGTTATGTCAGGAAGTATATATATAAGAATGATATGCGACTTTATCCTCTAATCGCTTCTAATTTATTTACTTTAATTTCAACTATGACATTTTCTTTTAGTCTTTGCTTTGATCTTTCTTTTATGCTTTGACTTTGGCTTTCCTTAGGTCTCAACTTTAATCTTCTTTATACTTCGACTTTGGCTTTTCTTTATCTTTTTTCTTTAATTTAAGATAGTTGTAGCTGTTAGTTTCTTAATATATTTAGCTTGCTATTCCTATAGTCTTATAGCTGTTTAGTCCTTTTCTTTTACTTGTATATTTATTATTCTGTTAGTCTTTATGTCTTTTGATTATTCACTGTATGCATTTTGTTTTTTCACTATATATTTTTACTATCTATTTGTCCTTTAGACACAGTCATTGGTCAAGGTGATTCAACCTTCCTTGATACTTGATAGATGGTGTACGATCTCACAGTAATTCACAAATATAATACTTCTTAGAATGTACACCTTAAAATCCCTACTCTGTTGGGTAGACTAGGATAGAGTTTGCATAATGTTCAACGATAATACTATAATGTCTCAAAAGAGAATATTCGATTTGGCAGAGCCGATATATGTTTAAAGTATATGCTTTATTAAAATTATAAGATATGCAAGATGCCTTTACAAATGCTAAATGCATTATGCTTTTATACTATTTTCGAAACTGCTAATTCTATTTAATATGCTAAATCTTCTATGTCTACTATGTCTACTACTTCTACTTCATCTACTATATCTAATATACCTTCCCGATCTACTAAATCTGCTAATATTACTGATTTGGATATATACATTCCTAAACAAATATGTACCCGATCTGTCCAAATGCAGTTATAATCATTGATCCTTTTTGCAGTTGTTACAACATAATAAATTATAAATTTATAGTTAATTAAGTAGATATATACTATATATATAAATAAACTAAATATTTAATAGCTATAACTATTTTTCTATTTATTATATTTTTGAAATTTGATTTTTAATTTTATATTTCAATTTTATTTTAAATTTTATAAATTTAAAATTTTATTTATTATAAAACGCACCTATAGTGGTTTTGCATCTATTATATATTTTATTATGGTTTGTTTAGATTTTTTCAACTTTTGAATATAAAAATTTTTAACTCAAAATTTTTATATTAGTGTTAGTATTTAGAATTAAGGTTAAGGGTTTTTAAAGACATAGAGCTTTTTTACTTAGAACATTTTGCACTAATTAATTAGCCAGTTTTTGAAATAAAATATGCACTATAAGTAAGTTTTAGTAAATGTTTGAAATTTTATGTTTTTTTAAAAACTTTTTTTAATTTTAATTTTAAATTTTTTTTAAATATGCTAATTTTTTTATTTATTGTTTTTTTTTTTGTTAGCAATTTATATTTTAATTTATAAAATATTTTATAACTCTGGTTTTAATTATTTTTGTTTTTTGTTTTTTTTTTTAATATTAAGTTGACAACTTAGACCATTGGCACAAGCTTTATTTAGGTAGTTATGATATTACATCCATATCATGAGGATACAACTAGCCACATGTGCACCTTTTGGGTACCTAATTTAAGTAGTCTACCTGGGTTCTACACTAGCCACCATACCTGCAATCTAACTAGAAGATTACCTATTTAAGCTTTCTGGTTATTTCTAACAAAAGTATGACTAGCTATACAAGCAATTTTTGGTTGCCTATTTAAGTAGTCTGACCTAGATTCCACACTAGCTGCTGTACCTATAACCCAACTAGGAAGTTACCCATTTAAATCCTCTTGCTACCACTTTTGTAACATGCCCTACCCTAACACTTATACGAGATTAGCAATTGCTAAGGATAACTCTAAAACTTTAGCCAAACCATATATCCTTGTAGTAAACCTAACATAATAGTACATGTCTTATCTATGTATTCACCTGCATGTTTTAGTAACTTTCACCTAACTAGTACCTGTTGTGCTACTGCCATCAGATTTGTATCTCAAGCTATCTTTTCAGATACTGCTATATCTCAATCTATATCTCAAGCCACAACCTTTCTAATTAGGATCCCATTATGTATTTCTTACCTTTGTGAGATTCACAACAACCCTGGTAACTACATTCTAACTTCTTTTTTCCTGAATTCTCTCCTTTACATCCAGCTGGCAATCCGGAAGGGTTGGTTTGCCTAGGTCTTAGGTGCCTCATGATCGCCCTCCTCTTGGTACATGCTTCCAGAGCACAAGTCCTTTTCTTCCAGTTGGCAGTCTGGCAGTTCGGCTAGTATATCCCCCACTTAAGGATCCAGTTGTTTGGTTCTCCAGTCTCAGTCCTCAGTTCCAAATTTGGCCTTCCTGTAGCACTATTAAAAATCACTGCTACTCCACACTCGGGGCTTGCCAAATGGGTTTTCAGTAATTCCAGTTTCCTGGATTTATTGCACCAAAACTTCTATTCAAGATAGTGTGACCAAGATTATAAATTTCTGGATCCAACTAATAATCTTAATGTTAACCAATACAGATCTAGTATTTTCAAATTGTCATCCATGGGATTTGAACTCTAGACCTGCATCTGGGGTGCAACAACTCCACCACTTCACTAAGTTACTACACCCTGTTTTAATTATTTTTTTTGTTTGCAAAATAATATTAAAAAATATTACTAATTTTAATAGACAACAAAATTTGCAGCATTTTTATATTCTAAAAATTTTGCAAAATTATATTATATAGATTAGTCTTGCCCCATCACCTAAAATATTATCTAATGAATGCAAGCACCCTAATTCTGTCTGTAAATTAATTGTTGATAAACTAAGTTGTCAGAAAATGAAAACAGTATCAAGTAATTTTGAATACAAAAAAATGTAGCTTCTGTGATCAAATTTTTCAGACAAATCAAGTGATGTGGCAATACTCACAGGTCGAAAGATAGCAATCAGGCACAGGCAGGTACCAATTTTAAACTGATTGCTAACTGATTACTGCCTGATTCATGTATATTTTTGTACCAAATTTTTGGTACAAAAATATACATGAATCAGGCAGTAATCAGTTAGCAATCAGTTTAAAATTGATTTGTGCCTGATTTGTCATCTTTCGACCTGTGACTGGATAGGCTAGTACTTTATATAACGTGATGAAACTTGTATATTTTACTCCCTAGTCTTCCTTT